GCGTGCGGTATATAGCGGAATTTCAGTTATAATTTTCAAAGTGATTTTAGTATATTCGTGTCGTCATTTATGGTGTGTTATCAGTTATCGTTCTTGTATAACTAATAATAATAATAATAAATTAGTAATTATAAATATTATTACATGTGAGTAGATTAGTTTAGTTAAAGCCAATACGACTCTGTGACACGAAAGAAAAAATCTAAATTAAGTTAATCAGGCCCTGTTTCGTATCCCAAAATGGCCGCTATTGACATCCCGACCATGAATTCCTTTATTACACGGGCTGTCACTCGAGTTAGCTTGCTGATTGTTTTTGTATATGCTGTGGTTTCATGATAGATTGCAGTTCTAAGTATCACTTCTATTTGCATAACGCAACTTTCCCAGAATATTTTTCCAAGTAGTGAATACATATAGAGAGCGTCGAGTCGAATAGAAAATCTACATTATTATTCCTAATCATGGAGAATCTAGGTATAGCTGGTAAAGGTATAGGCGGTATACAAGCCGTGTTCGTTTTTGTCGTCTTTTTCGTCAATTTGCTCCGAAACTTTGATAGGCTCGTGATTTGTAAATTGAAATTGTTGATCCAGTCACGTGCCTGACAAAATTTCGGAGCAAATCGGCGAAAAAGATGACAGAAACGAACACAGCTAGAGTTATCAAATTTTTAACAACATTGAATTACCCCCGAATATTTTGGAACTAATAGCTAGTGCAAAAATCGGTTTCTGCTTTTTCTCATTTTATTCTAGTGGAAAGGAATGCCTAAGCTAGTTATTTATCTCAGAGTTGTCCAGTTAGCAGAAATGAAAAATAAATCTCAAGCTAATAACTAGCTAATAACTAGCGCCTGATTATCGACATCGTCTTGACAAGCATCTCAACTAACATTTTTATTTATTTTTTTTCTACAACTGTCAAAAAATGAGGATGTTCGCACATTCATGACAGTTTGCAAAGTGACACTTTTTTTCCCAGGTATTGATTTTTTAACGTTTCCATGACGCCGTGCGCGAACTAGCTATTTCGCACACTAGTGCGCGAAATAGCTAGTTCGCACACTAGTGTCATGGTGACACATACCTGTCAGGAAACCAAAAATAATTAAAATTCACCTACCTTTGATTGAGAATGCAATTTTGGCTTCGAATGATCGACATTTAAATGGTAGAAAAAATATTGTTTGCAACTCGGGCGCGAAATACTTTGGTGATCTCGACTATTTTTGAAAAAAATCGGATCTCGATCACGAAAGTAGCATTTCGCGCACTAGATACAAAAATAACTATTATCTCATTTTGACGTTTAAAAATGACATTTGATTTAAAAACATTTTAACTCACTCTCGGCATTTTAAGTCACTATGTCCAACTAAAAATCTGAAACCTCAGTAATTTAAAATATTTTTAACTCACTTCCGGCATTTTTCCTTGTACTTTATTTTTTAAATTTCCATAAATTGGGATAAATTTTTTTATCCCATTTTGACGTTTAAAAATGACATTATTGAACGCATAAGAATAAAGGTAGGTAGACGTTTATCACCTCAGTGATTTAAAAGCATTTTAAATCACTGAGGTGTAAGAAAAATTTAATTTTTGTACCTTGTGTATCAGGGCTTATTAAATAATCTATTAATTTTAAATTTCGTAAGACTTTTAATTAAATGTCGAGAGTGAGTTGATAGTTATTTTTCTAATTTTGACATTTAAAGTGACACTTTTCAAAACTCGTTGACGTTATCAAATGCATTACTTTTCATCACCAGTTACAAAAAGTAAAACTTTTCGCAACTGGTGATGAAATAGCTATTTACCTAACAAGTGCGGAAATAGCTATTTATACAATAAGTTACGAAATGAGCGTCTTTTAGGCACGCGACGTGAAAATTGTCCAACGAGGCAAAGCCGAGTTGGACAACACGTCGAGTGACTAAAATACATCGTTTCATAATGTATTGTATACAAGATTTTTTTCTACTGGCATTTTATAATAAAAACACATAATTTTATTTCATGTGAATAAGTCGATTACGCGCAAAATCTTTGTTACTTGACACCTGACACTTTTCATGCAATTTTTTTTTGAAGATTCGACATCAATAATTAAAATCCTAGAAAGTAGGTGACAACACAAAGTTCTGTTTTGAGTAACCCAAACGTTCAATTCAGTAATTCCATTTTCAATATTCATAAAAAATACAAAACAAAATTCAAATACGTGTTAAGTGTGTTTTTTATTTCTAAATAATGAATGACACTTTTAGGCACTAGTGCTTAAAAATTACTTTTACGCACTCAAAAGTCACTTTTACGCATTCAAAAGTCACTTTTACGCACTGAGTGCCTAAAAGTAACTTTCACGCACTCAGTGCTTAAAAGAATGTCGTTTCAAAACTAAAATGACAATCGAAAAGTTGCTATTACGAAACGTCAGTAGAAAAAATATTTTCCGCAAGTGCTAGGTACAATATTTTTCCTACAGGCATAAAAATGTAGTTTTTTTTTTTTGACAGCCGTGCGGTAATAGTAATTTTCCTAATCAGTGCGCAAAGTTATGTTTTCCCGCACGCGAAAGCAGTTCGGATATATTAAGTGCGGGAAAACTACTTTGCGCGTGTGTTAGGAACAATATTTTTTTCTACGAGTGAAAGAACTATACTTCTTTTTTAAATTTTTGATTTTTATAGGCATCAAAAACAACAACTTGCTATAACTAACTCGGTATATCTAAATCAGGGACCTTGCTCCCTAAAAAAGGGGGCCCCACGGGGCTGGGCCACCCAAATATAAGGCTTCCGCGAAGCTTAGCCCCCTACAAAGGGGCCCCCGCGGGGCTAGTCCCCCCAGAAAGGGGGATCCCGCGGTGCTCCGCTCCCCAAATAGGAAACTCTCGCAAGGCTTTTCCACCCAAATAGGGGGCCCCCGGATTTTATTATGGGTATACCAAAAAAAAAAGTGTGCGAGAAAAAAATTTCCTGCATAGTGTGCGCAAAGTAGTTACTCTGCGCACACTTTTGGGAAAGGGTTTCTTTGCGTACGCAAAACTGTGCGCAAAGTAACTACTTTGCGCACACTCGAAGAAAATAATTTTTGCTTACCGAACTCCGCTACGCGTCGTTCGGCAAACTGCAATCGCGTGACCTTTAAGGTGCAATTTCGGTGACGCGGCTGGCTGCGGCGGCTAGCAGCTGCGTGTCCAGCTGCTGCACTGGTTTGTACAGTTTCAAATGGAACCAATTTGGCTTGCGCAGCGCGACTAAAGCGGCGGCAGCCCGCGCTGCAGCGGCTGCTGTTCGACTGCTCGCGAAGCAGTCGAGCGGTTGAAATCGTAGTGACTCGGGCAAAAAATGGCGCCATTTACGTCAAATGACGATGAAATTTTAATCAACGAAATACAAAAATATCCCGTAATTTATGATTATGAAGACAAAAATTACAAAAATTTTGTTATTAAAGAAAATTGTTGGAAAAAGGTCGCTAAAGAATTAAAAAAAGAAGGTTAGTATTATTCTTCTTCATCTTCCTCTTCTTCTAATAAAATTAATGTTATCAAATCGTCGTAATCCATATTTTTTAATAAACCCCGCAAAAATTTAAAATGACAAAAATGCTACAGTCTGCAGTCAACGGCTGCCTAGAACTGCGTCACCGAAAACATCTTTTTATCGCCGCTACAGCTGCCGCGGCCAGCATCTCTAGTCGCGCAGCTCGAGCAGCACCACCGAAATCGCACCTTAAGGCTTTTTCAATTTTTGTTTATTAATAGTTGTCCACTTTCATTTAGCTTTACACGTTTAACTATGACATCTGTCAAATCACAAAAACTAGTTGTGTTATAGATTCATAACTTAGTCCATAATACCACTAGGGGCCGGTTTCTCAATAGCGAGTCACCTCCGTGGTGGATTTAGCTCCAGGGTAAGCGTGTCCAGTTGCCATGTTTACCCTGGAGTTTTGCTTAACCCGGGGTTGAATCGCTATTGAAAAACCGACCCTAGTTGTTTTATGAGTCTCATAACTTAATTCAAATACTAGAAAAATGGTTATGAAAAAACATCATAGATAAGAATTATTTGCATTACAAGTGCGTTTATGAACATGATACAAATTACAATAACGAGTGTGACGACCACGAGGTCATAGACCGAGTCGTTCTACTCACACGAGTTTGGTGTTCATGTTTAAATTAAACGCACGTGTGTTGTACAACGTTTTATCTACAAAGCGAAAAATAAGAATGTTTTTTCAATTATTTTCGTTTATCTGTTAGTAGTTGTCTACCTTCATTCTACCTTTACAGGTTTAACTTTGACATTTGTCAAATCACCAAAAATAGTTGTTATAGATTCATAACGTAATACATAACACCACTAGTTGTGTAATGAGTCCCATGACATAACTCACATACCTACTAGAAAAATGGTTATGTAAAAATGTGATAACTAAATGCTTGTAGATAAAATAATTGACTTTTGATTTTAGTTATTTATTACAAATACTAATGATTTTGTTTCAAAAAGTTCGAATAAAAATATCTTCTACTCGCAAATAATGGCTATTATTCACTCGAATGATTCCATTCCATTAATTTCCATGATTTTTTTTACATTCTCGTGAATAATAGCCATTATTATGCTTGTTGAAGAATATACTATTTTACAATCAACGCTTACCGAAAGAGGGAATCGAAACGATTTAAATGTGATAATATAAAACCAAAAGTATTTGAGTGTTTCTGGAGTATACCTACCTCCATCCTCTAACACCTATTCTATTATGTTATAAAACCAAAAAAACCTATAATGGAAGTCAAAGTTTGTTGAAAACCCGTTATCGCTTGCCAAAAATAGTTGGAGGACAAATAAATTTCAAAAGAAACCATTTATTGCGAATATGAAATAAGTAAGACCAAGAAAGCGGAAATCACGAACTCTTCCAAAATTTGAAATTCCCCACACCATGTATGTACATACTTAGTAAATCAATTCTTACCTTAATAAAGAAGTCTAATTCAGGTTGGGAAAGACCGCCGGCATGCTGTTCTAGTTTAACAGTCATTTGAAACGAATACAGAAGCTTATGTTTCTCAAATATTCCAGTGCAACCATAATCATACACATTCTTTGTCAACGTGTTGATGATATTTTGCAAACGTCTATCCAATATGGTGTGCGGCAAAGCTTTTCTTAGAGAAAACGAGAATACTTCTAGATACGATGCCAAAGAGTATTGGTACATAGCATTAACACCTGCCATGTCGGAAAGAACGAAAAATAATATGGCACCTCTTTTGGCTACTGGCCTATACACGTCACGAAGTTTGTCAATGTCTTTGGAAGTCTGTGCTGCAAGCTCTAATTTTTCCATAACTTCATTAGCTTTGCTTTTCGTATTCTCCAATGTAGTCACTAATTCAACATTATCAAGCATATTTCCTGTTGTAGTAGATAATTCTCTCAACAAAGAATCTTCTAATACTTGCAATAAATTTTTATTTTCGCTTGTTTCTGCTATGAGCATTTCTCTTTGCTCTTCCAAGTCGGGCCTTTCATTTCTGACTACAACACTTAAAAGTTGATCTTCCAAGCCTGTTAATGTTACAGTATAATTGATAACGACTGCGCTAGCATAGACAGAAGGATTGAAAATTGGATTAGCAAATTTGGTGGTCATGTAAAGCCTGAAATTTGGGTCCCAATCGACTTCCTTATCCCCTAGAATCACAAATACGCGACCACCAATGGATTTCAAATTTTTTTGTATTACATCCTCTACTACCGGATCGATATAATCGTCGGAATCTTGAAATAAGACTGGAGCTCCATATTTTATAGACATATCCAAATGCTTCAAGAAATCAGTGTCGTTGAAGCTAAGAAGTTTCATATTATTTTTCTCTTCGCGTTTTTTAATCCAATTCAATGCTTGCTGTTGTGGATCAATGCACAAAGGAAATCTTGATCCTCTAATAGCTAAAATTCCATTCTGAATTGACAGTTCGTCAGGAGGTAGCGATTCTGAGACCCATTGACTTATTTCCACATCAGTGGTCAAATTTGTTTCTAACCTGAATGGTACTGTTAGAGGTATTTGCCTTTCCAAAATATTATCTTGCCAATTAACATAAACCATATCTCGTCTAAATTCGTACGTAAATGGACCGCAATAAGCTAAAAATCCCGAGCATAACAAACAATTACCAACTAAACGTTCTCTTTCTATGTTCAAATTGTTGAGCTCTTCGGTCCAGCGAATTTTTTCGGAGCTTAAACCTGAAATAAGCTTATCAGCAGCCTCGAGCCGTCTCATCATTATATCAGTTTCCTCTTGCAATTCTTGCCTTCGCTTCATTGCAACAGCATACTTTTGATTTAATTTATCCAAATCAGCTTCTAACTTGGCAATTTCGTTATACAGTTTTTCTAAATTACGTTTGGCTGCACTATATTCAGCCTCGAGTTGCTCTACTCGATCTTTCTTTGGTTTTACTTCTCTGTATACAGCACAATATCCTAATACAGCTTGAACGAATTTTAATAGGCCAAAACCAGCTTTGCTTACAGAAGCCATTTCATCCAGTTTTGAGGATTTTTTCATGTGAGCCTTACAAGCGCGTTGCTGAGCTAATGTAATGGCATCACAATTCATTTCTTGTAATGATCGTAAGAAATTACCCTCAGCCATCATGCCTTTCGCAGACTTCCAAGAAACTTCTTTATACCCTCTGAGAATCGTTATGCATTCGCAAACAACTTGCACAGCTTCTGGTGGTGTGGCAAAAGAACGAATTTCAGTAATATCATTTTTGTCTAAGTCGGACAAAGCTAGCCGAGCAGTTTCTAGAGCTGGCAATGCGGCTGATAAAGCTTCTTCAGCATCAGCTTGCTCTATACTAATGATCCTAGCTTGTTCTTCAATTTCTTGACTTTTCAATGAAGCGATATCTTTTTTCTCTGTAGCTTTGTTGGTGCCTTCTTCAATTTCAGCCAACATAGCTTCACATTCGGCTGTTGCTTTACCAACAACAATTTTTTGTTTTTCCAGTCTAGCGTTTAAAATTGCTAATTCTCCACTGGCTTCTTCAATTTTTGATAAACCGCTTTTTAAACGATCGCATTGGGCCTTGTTGTAGATGCCTTTTTCTTCTAGGAGTCTTAAGTAAGTTGTGATATAATCTAAATAATGTTTTGGCGTGACGTAATTTTTTCTTCTCAACATTATTAGATAGTTTGCAGTGAATGTATTAACTGTTTGGTGGACGTGAACTACGTGCTCAATAATCGTGTCTCTGTATTGCTCAGGAATGTGAACGTTTTCTTTCAAAAACACTGAGGCTACAGCAAATAGGGCTTGCAAAGGCCAAGGAAATATCCAATCGATTGTGGTGTTATTAACTAATCCAGGAAAATTTCTACAGCGCTTACTTAATACGTCACTTGTAGGCGACATTGATAAAACTACATGTAAATTATCTACACATGTGTCTATGAAATAATGCCAAACATTGTCTTTGCTAATTCCATATCCTGCTTCTACAGCAGCTGGTCTACATTGACCTGTAATTTGTTCCTTTTCATCATCAGTGAATAATGAAGGCACATACCCAATCATCAAAATATTGTTAATAAATTCCAAAAAACCTTCTTCAACTATTTGGGCAGCGGTAAAGAAGAATACGGTGGGTTGCTTGTCAACGCCTAATTGATTATATAAGGTTTTCAAGTCGTCTTTGAACATAATCTCGTTATAGCCTCTACAAAGTATTATAGAAAACATTTCACAACCGGCGGTGAAAGCTGCCAATCTCGTCAAACTAGCTTTTCCACACCCACCCACGCCAACTAGCATCACGTGGCCTTTTTCCAAACGCAAACCCCTGTGGACTCTGGTTAGATGCTCCAGGGCATCATTAAAGAGTACAATATTTAATTTTTCTTTTCGTTCATTGTAAAGTTCAATAATTTCTTGAAATAAAAAGTAAATCGCATCATAATCTAATAGATCTTCATAATCTCTAGGATCCCCTTCATTAATTGCATTCCGGTAATCTCCAAAAAGTAATGGATCGCGCATCGAATATTCTAAAACATCAACTTCTTCCTCTTTGTTTTCGACCTCTTCAATTTGTTGTTTCGGTTTTTCTTCGTCGGGTATAAATACGAAATCGTCATCGCCGGGCCGTGGTCCCGCGACTTCAGCAACCTTCTGACTTGCCTTAGGAAAATATTTTCTTATTTGCTCAATCAGTTCATGTCTAACATATTTTTGATCTTCGATACTAATTAAACGATCGCAAAACACTCTGGAAAACTCATTTCTCCAAACTCTCACAATTTGCGGTAAAGTTTGAAAGAATTTTGGAGTTATTTTACATAAGCCTGCAGTGACCCGAGATAAATCACGCATATTAAAAATGTAATGGAACTTGCTAGGCGTCGGTGGTAGATGAATTATTAACTCGTTATATAAATTTAAAGTCATTGTGAGTAATATGTCAGCAACTTGAACTTCAGGCTCGAAGGTTTCTAAATGCCCAGATAAAATTGACGAATAAATATGTTGCAATGTCGAAGTTGTAGGGAAAACTAAATTCATCACAGTAAACATTGATATAAATCTTGGATCGACTTCATTTCTGCCACCGCCAGCTACTCCCATTGCGGCAAAATATGAAATATCTCTCAAAAACTTCCAATTTAAATCTTTGCCTCTATCATACATGCCTCCTCGTTCAAATAACAACTTCAACAAGGCTATCGGCTGCTGAGTACCATATTCATCAACTTGTGGCATGTTCATATCATCGATAAAACATATAAGCTTCTTGCCCATCGGTGGCCCATAAATATCTTTAGTACGTTTCTCTACTGCGGACTCTAAATTCATTTGAACATCCATCGAAGAAGTTCTTGATGAAAAATTAATATTCAACAAAATAAATACGTCTGGATTTAAATGACGTAAAAAGTCTTGAATAATGGCTGTTTTAGATGTTCCAGTATCGCCAACCAAAACAATCGGACGTTTAATTTGATTCATTAATTGTAATATATATGTGACTCTGACGGTATCAACAGTTGGTACTAAGATTTGTGAAAATCTCAAATTGGTTTCGTGAATATATCCAGGCACCAACCAATCCCAGGCAATCCAAACTTTATTTTTAATATTCAAAAAGTAATCGTACATCGTAGAACGATGCGTAGGCCAATGAAATAGGTCACACGGATCTTCAATAGAGTCGTTGTGATTTAACATAGATATAGCGGATTTTATGTAATCATCAAATTCTAATCTACAAGAATCTATAAGAGCTGCTCCAACAGAATTATAAAGCGACGTTAAAAATATTGCATTAACTAAATCAATCTCTACTTCTTCTTCGGGGTCACGATTATCTTCTATTGGTTGTGGATAAATAGCGTCAATAACGTGACAAAGTTGAGTAATCATATTTAAGCCAGTTTGTGGGATGACTGTTTTCAAAGGGGATACTTGTTTGTTTCCAAGAGTGCCTTCAAGGACATAGGCCATCAAATCTCTAACGACTCTTTCGTAAAAATCTGAAAATGCTTCACGTTCAGGCAAGTGTTTTCTACTTTGCACCCATCTATCCCAATAAGGTTGATAGCCTAAGTTTTTAGGATCTACGTAAACCATGCCTGCTCTTGAAACTGTTGCAGGAGAGGCAAATTGCAGATCACCAACTTCAAATAATAATGCACATATTGGAGTGTTGAGTCGAATTCGTTCTCCGTTAGCTAAAGTTAATAATCTATTATCATCCATAACTGAGTTCATATTTTCTATCCATAAAGCATCTACATCGCCATCAAATAAAATGTATCTTCTTTCGGGTATTTCTGTAGGTTTATTCATGTCTCTGAATATATTCGATAGTAAACCATCAGTCCAGTCTCTCGTTAACGGATCGAGGATTCCATATAGTTCTATTACACTACACGCCTTGGGGTTCAATGTAAAAATTTTCGTTGGTAAGCCCAAAAGAGTTTGCGCTTTAGCCAGTACATTAATCACAACAGTTTTGCCACCGCCAGTAGGGCCTACAAGCATTGTAGAATGCCTCGTCATCATTGTTTCATATAATTGAACAACTTTGTCTTCTTGATAAGGTAAAATTATGTAGCGTTCTTTTTCTAAAACTTTTTCCACTGCTGCATTGAGGTCTGGATAGCCGACTCTAGGACAATCCATGCCCGGAAATAAGTCTCTGATTAATCCCAGAAATAAAGGCACGTCTTCGTAAACAAATTTGGGATGATTCATGTCACGAAGGGCTCTCATTAAAACTAAGGCTTCTTTAATATCTGGCGAAGCTCTTTTAAGCACACCAGCCATTCTAAGCACAGCATTTAAAGCTCTCAAGCCCCAATCATAATGGAATTGCTTAGATAATTGTTCTCTCGCGAGTTTATATAGCACAGTCATTTTTTTAGCCAGTACTTTGGCCTCTAAAAATCCATCGGAAAATAATGAAATCATGCAAATCATTTCTAGATCCGGCACAATACATACTACAGGTCTGAATAGGGCTTTAACAGATTCAGGCAGTTCAGTACGACCAGCATAACCAGGATTCATGGTTATGAAAATGCCTACTTTAGAATCCAAGGCAATTTCAACACCTTCGAAGGTAAAACGTTCCAGCCTCATCATCAAAGCGCTTTTTATCGTTTGTAGTTGAGTTGATATCACTGACAACACTGATATATCGATTCTGTTAAACTCATCAAAACATCCCCAGGCGCCACATTGTGACAAGCCTGCAAGGGTCGTACCGATAGCTTTATAATCCATGCCCTCTCCACAATTAGTTACTATACACAATAAAGCTAGGGCTTTGGCTAAATCTTTAACAGTTTCAGTTTTTCCTGTACCCGCGGGCCCTGCAGGAGCTCCTCCCATATGCATTATCAAAGCCTGAGTTATAGTTAAATAAATCCTATCAGTCAAGGGTGTTATAACTAATCTACCATTCAGGCCCATATATTCATAACCATATTCAAATGAGCCCGTGCATTGGGTTACCCATAAATTATCCAAATGATTAACCCAATAAAATCTCAATTGACTTTCCCATTCAAATTCGGATATATCTGTTACGCTGTCTCGTACAAAGTTTTCTACAATATCCCTCGCGTGCACCTCGACAATGGCTATAGTACGAAATTTTGTACGGTCATTGGTAGTTAAATCAGCTCTGACAGTAAACACGATTTCATCTAATTGATTATTGAGTTGCTGCAAGTACTCTTTCATGGCTCTTTTATTTCCTTTTTTAATTTTGGCAAATACGTCCTCCACTTCAGCCGTCCACCAAACTTGACTTCCTATCAGACATACCATGCCTTGATAGTCTAGCATCCATTTAGGTCGAGGTCTACGGATTTTCCCGTAATAATATATGGAGCTTTTTGTTATAAATCTATTTGACCGTCTCATTTCTTTTAAAACTTCATTCATCCAATCTTCGACTTTTCCTTCAATCATTGCGGGGTTTCTAAACTCCATCACTTCCCCTTCTGATGAAATCATTGCTGAGGCAATTACTCTATCATTAGAGTCAGTGGTGAAGCGTAAAGATTTTATATTATCGAACATTTTTATCATATGTTCTTGGACTACTGTATGTTCGCTGCTTCCTAAAATTGACAATAATTCTTCTGTAGATATAAAATAGAATCTTGGAAATCTTCGTCTTTTTGCGTCAAGGTAATCGTTCAAAGATTTTTGACATTTGTCGAGACCTACGCTTAAATCCTGAAGTTCTTCTAAGCGACTTTGCACGGTGCAGCATTCTAATACAATAGGTCTTTTAGCAGTTTCCATCATGATCTTCCTAAAAAATTTATCAATCTCGTCAAATTTTTTGGCTTCGTCTGGTAGTTGAGCTCTTATATCACCCCCTACAAAAATTCCTTCTAAATATAACCACTTTCTTTGTACTGCCAACCATTCATCAATTACTTCACCAATATGTGCCAGAGTCTTCTCCCATTTTTGTACGTGAGGCAAAAACGGTCCTACGAACTGAGAGCCCGCCATACTTTGCAAATTCATAGAGTTATCTTCTAATATTTGCATAATTTCATCAGTGGCTCCAATAATAAAACCTCTATCGTCGGTCCCTTTCAAATGTTTAATCACAATAAATGCCACCGTTTTCCAGGTATCAGCAATTTCCATGACACCTCGCTCAATTGCCAACTCCTTAATGGCATTATTAATAATTTCCTCAGCAATATCTTGAAACCTATGAAGTTCCATGGCAAACATATTATCCAACGTAAATCTGTCGGGTGCCATATCAAATGTTATACCAGTTTTAGTCATTAGTTTCTTCCAATGGCGGTCTCTTAAAGCCTCGTTCTTTAGAGCAACCATTAAAGGTATAGAATTTCTAAATTGCTTCATTTTAAGTTCCAACGTTAATCCTACATCCATTGCGCGAATTTCTTTGGGTATTTTTCTAAACTCTTTTAAAAACCCGTCGATTCCATCAAGCAAAGCTTGTGGGTTCAAATTAGCCCATAAAGTCTTACCCCATAATTCTCTCGCGTGTTTTTGGGCCTTATAAACTTTATAAATCACATCCATGCCCTCAAAATCTTGTTTGGCTTGTAAATAATCTGAATAATCAGCTAAAGGAATGTCAAATAACATTTCTGCATTGACTAACTCAATTCTACGGGCTTCTAGAGTGTCAAATTCAATCCGGTATTCTTCCATAAGTTTCGTGCCGTTGTCTAAGTCTTCTCCGACAGATCCGGGGCCCTCATGCTCGAATCTTTTCAAAAACTCTGCTAGTTCATCTAAAAATGTGTTAATTTCATCTAACGTAAGCAAAGCAAAACGTTCTTTGGTAGACTCTAGTGTTTGTTCCCTGTATAATCCGGATATTAACAACTCTTGCCAATCTTGTTCCAGTTGGTAAGCCATAGCCTCATGTGCAGGATCGAATTCAAACTCATGTTGCCTCAGCATTGCATAAATATCTTGAAATCGTAAATAATCTAGTTCAGCTTGTATATTGTATTTTCGTATCGCTGTTATGGCTTGCATAACTGTCTTAAACTTTTCGAGGCCTTTAATGTGCTGTATTATCTTAGATTTAAGATCGTCAATTTTTCGTTTCATTTCCATCATTTTCACTACAGTATCGGCATCTAATAAACTTCCTAAAGTCGTTTTCCATTGAAGGCAATGTTGCACTATAGTATCTAACAAAGGTTTTAGATGTAATCTCAAACTGTCGATATCCATATATTCCTTATAAGATTTTATAGTTTCAATTATATCTTTGTAATACATAAATTTTTCATCGTAATTTTCCAAAGTCACCATGCCAGCCATAAATTTTTCACAAGCAGATTGTTTTTCAACTGTCCACAAAAGTTTGTAACGTTTAAATTTTTGTATATGTTTTTGCACATTCAGAATAGATTTTCGAACAACATCTTGTAGTCTTTGTGTAGCATCATTAACGTCAGCAGCATTTATAATTTCATCATAAAAACTAAACAAAAAATCTTCTTTTTTTGAAACTGGAATTGGCTTGCACATGATGCAAGTTTCGTTTGCCCAGCGAGGAAACAGACGTAGCCTGTCTATAAAATCGTGAGTATTACGTAAAGTTAAATTGTAAACCTCGGCTGCATTGGGTCTGAGTAATATTTCCGGAGTCATTACTAAAGCGTCAACTTGAAATAGCAATACTTTATCCTCAAATTTTTTGGCAAATAAACCAAGATTTCTCATAGTCATGCCAATAAGAGCTTTGTAAATTTCTGCTTCCCAATAGTAGTAATAGCTAAACATTTCAGGGCAATTTCCAGTGTTGCTATTCAATACCAGATATTCTAGTTTCACCAAAATTGGGCCAAATGATTCGTAAATTTTGTATAAACTTGCTACTTTTTCGGTTCGTTTTTCATACATGGCATTATAAAACTGCTTGCAAGGAAGTCTCGTAGGCTCGACGCTAACTGGGTCAAATTCAAAAAGGTTTGCGTTCAAAAGCATTTTGACTCGTCTGAACAAGTCTTTTTCAATATGTTCTATGTGTTCGTAAACTGTATTTAAAGCTATAATTTGGGCCTCGCAATCTTCCGCATATTCATAAACGCTTAAAGAGGACCATTTCACTCTGGAAAGGCCTTGTTGGATGTAAAGTTCGACGTCATGGAGTTTGGATTTCAGTAGAACGATCTGAAAAAGTTATATTTTGAAAATATTAACGTTACACATTTTGGTTCAAAGCCCGTTCACAATAACTTAAACGACCTGACGTAGACAACTTAACTTAACAAAAGTTAAAGTTGAGTTTGTAGGCCAAGCAATGAAGGAAGTTTACAACAATATAATTAGAAGTTAACATTTTTGGGAGGGATCGGTCCATTTTCATGTGCTTAATAACATATTAAGTTTGCGACCTTGTACTTCCATAGGGTTTTTAGTTAGGGGTGGTTTTTAGGGGTAATTTGCGGCTTATGGAGAACGCTGCTCAAAGGGATGGTCCAATAGCAAAAAGTATCAAATGATTGTTGTAGCTGAAGTTTTTCGCTATAAAAGACTCAGGGACAGTACCCCTCTATCTTCTATAGTTTTTTTTCTGCATCGTCTTGAATAGTAGCATGTTTTTGTTCAAGGTCACTGAATCAACGTTTCGCCTGTTTCAGCGCATTTGATGCAGCAGTGGCTAAATGCATAATCCAATTTCAATTTTTCAAACACCACATTATTGTTAATGAAATGCACTCTCCAATGCTTTTTTGTTCGAAATTTTTGCTTGAAAATTAAGCGAGCAAGGACTTGACTAATGTGTGAGGAAGTTGTAAATTGCATCGAAAACTACCCCTTTCTTGCATTCACTGTAATCTCTTAACGGGGCCAAATATTTGGTGACAGTTTTCGACAATTGGCAGCCCATTTATTCCTCTCATAATGCCCCAGCTGACTTTTTTTTTCAATGACTTATTGGCCTGAACACGTCGCGCGGCATTTTTCAAAAAGTCAAAAAAAATTAAAATTGTCGCACAGCGCTGAAATTTCGTACGATGGCTTTATTTATTGTTCTCATGAATATACTGCAATTCTAATTGTTGCAGCAGTCACGTGAAGCAATTAAAGTTGCAGTATAATCATAAGAAGAATAAATAAAGCCATCGTACCAAATTTCAGCGCTGTGCGACAATTTTAATTTTTTTTGACTTTTTGAAAAATTCCGCGCGACGTGTTCAGGCCAATAAGTCATTGAGTATATAACGAAAAAAAAAATCCATTGGTCATTATGAGAGGAAAAAATGGGCTGCCGATTGTCGAAAACTGTCACCAAATATTTGGCCCCGTTACGAAATTACAGTGAATGCAAGAAAGCGGTAGTTTTCGATGCAATTTACAACTTCCTCGCACATTAGGCAAGTCCGTACTCGCTTAATTTTCAAGCAAAAAATTCGAACCAAAAAGCATTGGAGAGTGCATTTCATTAGCAATAATGTGGTGTTTGAAAAATTGAAATCGGATTATGCATTCGGCCGCTGCTGCATCAAATGCGCTCAAACAGACGAAACTTTGATTCAGTGACCTTGAACAAAAACATGCTACTATTCAAGACGCTGCAGAAAAAAAAAACTATAGAAGATAAAGGAGTGCTGTCCGGGAGTTTTATATAGCAAAAAACTTCAGCTACAATAATCATTTGAGACTTTTTGTTATTGGACCATCCCTTTGAGCAGCGTTCTCCATAAACCGCAAAGTACCCCTAAGAACCACCCCTAACTAAAAACCCCATGGAAGTACAAAGTCGCAAACTTAATATGCTATTTAGCATATTAAAATGGACCGATCCCCCCAAAAAAATTTTAACTTCTAATTATGTTGAGGTAAACCCTCTATTCAGATCCCCGTTTCTTGGACTATTGGTTGAATTGAAATTGAAAGAACAATGCAGTTCAACTTAACGTTTGCTAAGTTTAATTATCTAAGTCAAGTCGTTTAACTAATTTTCAACAGGGTTTTAAAGTAGCTCAAATCAATAAACCGAACACTTAGGCAAAAGTGATTTACAATAGAGGATAGGGGGCCTCATCACTCAAAAGATGAGGAAGCAGGAGACGGAGGAATAACAACCCTGTCAAAAAAAACAGGGTTTTACTGATCTGGCTGAGGGTACCCTGTGCGGGTCCCTTGACCAAAGTAACGGTCGAAGGTGGCAACCCGGTCTTTAAAAAGGGTCAAATGTAGAGGTAAATGAAAGACAGGTAAAGTCATAGCAAAAGCAAAAGAAAATGCAACAGATATTTTTACCTAAAAACAGATCAAGGTAGAAACGAATGAAAAACTCTTCAAAGGAAAGTACGCACGATGATAACTCAAAAGAAGAACAAAGACTGGGAAAGAAATCGTAAATCGTATATGAATTACCACATACGTCCGTAGATCCTTTTGCCCGGAAAAAACAAAAGATGTTATCTGACCCATTTGCTTCGATAAATAGAATGAGGATTTAGCAAAGCTGAATGAAGAGCAGAATACCAACAGCCACAATCACAATCAACAGCCCTGCAAAATTTTTAAAACGGCGCAGGAAAACTATACAATTAGCTACCTAGAACTTGCCAACAATTTCTCGGTGGTATGGGTATGGTCACGTTTAGTAGATGAAAACTGAAAACTAATGAGAGTAAATACTGTACTGAATAAGACACTGCAGGGAAGACGAAAAAGTGTGAGATCTAGAAGAAGCTTGAGCGAAGGAATTGATAGCGAGATCAGAGCAAGACATATGGCCGAAAAACTCTGGGTGGACCAAAACCGATAAAGACAGGAAATCAGATCAGAACATGGCGGAGTCAATATTTCAATAATAAAGGATAAACCTAGACTTAAATGGGAAGGTACGAAGGACGCAAACCAAAATTAGAAAATACACTGCTGTTCATATCATGAAAGAAATTAAAGAAGAGTTTAATGCTTTATGATTATGAAAAAAAAAGAAAAAGAAAATCTGATTATAAACTAAGAATCAATCGAACTCGAACACCCCAATTTTTGGTCACTTTTCGTAAGGCTATATATAAGTCAAAATCTAGGAGACCGCTTTTGTGTTTTTGTTCAAATTTTAAGGAGTGAGAGGCTGCTCTAATTGCTATTTAGTTTCCAGTTGTTAACAGATTTCCGTCCACCTGCTAAAAGATATAGGATGAAACATAAGTTGGCGAATTTTTTTCGAAAGTTTGGGTTCACCCTATTCTGCTAGAGTGAGGAGTTCAGTAGATTTTTTGTATTCAGTTCAGAAGAGTACCTTAGTACCTCGAGACGTTTCTGAGATTTTTTGAATATCGCAGTCCACTATCCGAAAAAAAAAACGAAATTATGTAAATTGTTTTTATTTTTTTTCTGAGTTTAGTTGATGTTATATTGAAAAACAAATGCCACATCATCATTGTGTCATCATTGAAATCAAAACTTACCTAAGGTACCCTAAAGGTATGGTTTATTAGGGCAGTGCGCGACGCACAACTGACAAGGTAAACGTCGTCATTGGTTCAGGTATGACGTACACCCGTCTTCTGACGTGAGAAAACGGATCAGAGATAAATACATATAAACTGTCGAGAATGGAATCTCAGTGTAAATTTTGTTGTCAACAAAATAGACCTATCTCGTATGATTAGAAAAAGGGAGCTTAATTGTAATAAATACAAGTTAGAAAGCAATAAAAGATGACATGCGCGCGCAACTCGTAGGCTGCAGTGTAGCCAGATTGTATTGTTGCAGAACAAATGTAGACAATACAAATCGAACATTATAACATTAAAGAAGTGATATAGTGTCAAGGGTTTTACAATGCCCTAAGGGCCGGTATTATAAAACACTGAACCGATGGTTGAGTTTCAACCTTCGGTTGACTCCATGCAAATTGATAGGATTCAACCGAAGGTTGAAACTCAACCATCGGTTCAGTGTTTTATAATACCGGCCCTAAATCAGACAAAAGAAGAGCTTTAAAGTGGATGAACATCGTTTGCACTTTTATTTTGATAAATGTTTCATCCGGCAACATTGCTCAATGAAATTGCAAAGGAATATGTCAAGTATAATCTAACATAACCTTAAACGAAACTGCGGTGAGTTCAAGTAATATGTAAAGTATTAGTTTGTTCCTTGTCAAATTACACGTTACAAAGAAAGAAGGAACGATTCATTCTGAACTGGCCCCTGAATAAGAATATGACGCAAGCCTGTCACAAACTTGCTTCTCATTGGACGCTCACCTGCAGCCTACAAGCGACGCGCGCAGTCCAGGTAATACGAGATCGGTCTATTGAGCCAAGCCAGCGCCATCTACCACATCGGAAAATCACTATTTACTGGTTTTGCATCGATGCTACAGGCACCTACTTTACATAGGACTTTTTATGATAGATGGCACCCTGTTCGCATTACTGTCGGTCTGTTCAAATTCGTTTATTCTAGACTTTGGGGCATTAATGTTTGCTTAAATTAATTGATAATTTGTTAATTAGATCAAAAGACAGTTTCTTTATCGATGGTTAAGGGATCCTTAACATATTTATTCAAAGTTCTGATTGATGTTTAATTGATCCTGTCATTTATCTAATCAACAAAGATAAAAATAGATCTTCCAATCTATAAAGTTTGAAGTTCTTCTTGAAACACACAAAACAACTTTGAAATCACTTAAGAACACTTGACAACACAAAGAAAGATGAAATGCAAGACCGGCGAACAAAAAACATTATGAATTATTAGTTATGATCACAGATTAACCCGTCCTAAAGATAGGAAACTTCCATGTAAAATGTTCGTTCGCAGCTGTCTCGAAAATAACACGTGTGGAGCTTCATGACTGCCAAAGCTATGCGGCGCTAGTATACAAAGCCACAAGCAAATGTCATCTGTGAACTGTGAATGGTGAATATAATTTGTCAATGTGTTTGTCAAGAGTTAGCCATTTGATCTGTGTTAGTGTTCTTTTATTTAATTTCCTATCAATTTTTGATAAAACTTTGACTTGTTAATATGTTTTTGAAAAAAGAGACTTTATGTTACATTCAAACATAGTGGAAATGCTCGTGGAAATGGGATTAGTGATGGTTTTTATTCGCCATTTTTTGACATTCACATGAAGTGTGATTTGTGCACCAAATAAGACCAAAATTCCTAAAAATATAGGTACCTTCATT